TGGAAGATGCTTTTTTATGCCTTTTTATGTTTTTGTTTGTTCATGTTTGTTTTGTGTTTGTCGTAAAAATAAAAAAAAAACATTATAAAAAAAAAAAAAAGGGATAAAAAAGAAAAAAAAAAATAAAAAAAAATGTGCCAATAATATAGTTAATTTGACTTCTGTGTAGTCCATCCAATGATGGCCATGAATAAACAGAAAGTTTTGGTCACTGGAAGACTATGTTAGCAAAAGAAGATATCATTGGACTGGCAAAAAATAAGTCATTCTCTTGCTTCATTATGGTTTCCCAGGTCATACAGTCTAACTACATTTTCCTCCTTAATATTTCCAAATTTGGCATTCCAGTCTCCAACCACAAGCAACACATCTTGCTTGCATATTCTGCCAAATTCAGATCAAAGTTGACCATAAAACCTGTCAACCCCCTCTTCTTTTGCATCAGGGGTTGGATAATTGCCATATTCAAGGGTGGTCTATGAAGTGTAATTGATATTATTTGGTCATAACTGCACTGTATCCAAGTAGTGTCTTTGCTATATCCTTTCTAATAATGAAAGCAACACTGTTCTTTCTTTGTTTACTGACTATTGGATAGTATAATCTTCTGACTGAAAGTGTCCAGTTCTAGGCCATTTCAATTTGCTGATGCCTAAGATAGCAATGTGTGGCTGATTCATTTCATTTTCACTGTATTGAGCTTTCCTGTATTCATGCTTCTTAAGTTCCCTGACCCCACTGTAATTCTAACTTTGTGGCTTTGGATTTTCTTTTCCTGAATGGCAACATCAGCAACTAGGCAACCTGAAGACTTTAGACTACTTGCTTCATAAACACCATTTAGTACTCCAAAAGCTCCTTGGCTTTTCTCAGTAGCATGTTGAGTGCCATCTGATCTCAGGGTCCCATCATCCGGCACTATATCATTGATCATTTTATATTTTCTATCCATGTGGGTTTTTTGGTGAAATACAGGAGTGATTCTGCTTTCTCTCACACAGTATGAAAGGTTCCCTTTGTCACTAGTGTTCCTTGTTACTAAAATGATCATCCGCTTCCAGCAAGTTCCTATTTTGCCGCTGGCCAACATAGGTGTTTGCTTGCTCTAGCTGGACAGTTGGGATGGCCTTCCTGCCTTGGTTGGCCTTGCTGGTACTATATCTTCTAGGCATTCCTCCAGCATTTTTTGCTCATCCCTCCCAGGAACACCCTACCACAGTCCTTTTTTGGGCTGGGCAGGGTTAACCAAAAATATTCTGCTGATTGAAGCAAAAGACAAGTTGTGCCCCCACAACCCCCATTTCTATACTGTATACGGAACCAACTAACGTTTTACTACTCAGGACACAAAAGCTTCCTCCACTACTTCTGAGGATTCTAAACTAAGTTAACGGACACGATAGGCCACTTTCAGCACTGTCTTCAGGCAGTACAAAAGTGGAAATGACTGGGTGAGGGGACTGCTATTTCTCACTTGTCATTCATACTCAACATCTGCATCTGATGCAGCTCCTCAGCCTGACTAATGGCAAGGCTGACCCTGTGGCCCATCTATCACCTGCATCTCCTCCTGTTGCCTGTCTAGATCCTACCTTATTGTTACTAGGTTGGCCTCTCTGCTTCAAATACAGTTGCCAGTAGATAAAGGTATTAAAAAGTAATGGACAGTAGAGATCCCTCCATGAGTCTTAGAGCTTATTCACAAGTGAAACTAAAAACACCTTGGAGTCTGGAATGTGTCTCTTGTGAAGGCTACTAATGTCAGTTAGCAAATAGGAAGAAAGTAATTTTACAACCATCTCCTCTTCCTTCCCTTCTCAGAAACTGTATCTGCAAGAGATCCAAAGTAGTTACAAGAGTACCATGAAGATGACAGTGGAATTTTAATTAGCAACTCCATGATTTTTCAGTGCAGGACATACTTTTTGAGGCAGGAGAGCGTTCCCCCCTCCTTGCCTCTCCTTAAGCTGCTGGTGAAATACAGTACTTGACCTACCTCAGAGACTTATGAATATAGCCCTTTTTAGCAATTGGTACTTGGAAAAAGATGTGTGTGTGTTTCAGAGAGAGAAAGGGTACGTGTACTTTTCAGCAAGAGTGGCATATATGGCTCTCTTTTCTGTGAGAGTATTCTTGTTAGCTAAGCAGATAAACTCTTGTAAGAAAACGACCAAGAATGGCCTTGTTGATCCCTCCCTCTCCTTCTTATTTCTGTTACCACCATTTTACCCTCCTAATTTGGTCAAATCAATTTAGTCAGGTTTCACAAAAGTGAGTACCAGAAATCTCCATGTGAGTCCTGAGTTTGGATCCAACTAACTCTACCCTATGTACACTAACTCTAATGTACTCTATAACTTCATGTTACCTCCAGAATGTGGTGCTAAGTGTTGATTTTCATGTGTTGTTACATGCATATTTCCATTTTTCTTACAAACTTTTTTTTTCCAATCTCTTTCAGTTACAGCTGTAAGAAAAAAATCAACATTACCAGCAAAAGAAAAAATGAATCATTTATGGAAGAGAAAAAACCAAACCTCTGATTAGAGAGTAGACTGCAGCTCTTTCCATTATGACCTCTTCAGCTGAGGAAGCTTCTTACCCCTAGCGTAGAACCCACCTGCAGTAACAGCAGAGATTCTTGAAGTATTCAGTGTGGCAAGGCAGTGGCTATTTCCTCTTGCCTTCATGTTGAATTCCAGATGTGTCCTGTGACAACTTTTACCTTGAATGGAAGTTGGACTTGCCTATTGAAAATGAGACACTTCCAATTGAACTTGCTTCTCATCTGTATGGCAACCACCACTGCAATTCCTGTTCTGCCATGGAAGGTCAAATGTCCATTGCAATGTGTCTGCCAGATCAGACCATGGTATACCCCTAGGTCTGTGTACAGGGAGGCAGCCACAGTTGACTGCAATGATTTGTTTATCTCCACAGTGCCTGAAAGATTGCCAGAGGGGACACAGATCCTTCTCTTGCAAAGCAACAATATTGTCAGGGTCGAGCAGAGTGAACTGGACTATCTGAAAAACCTGACAGAGCTAGATTTATCACAGAACAGCTTCTCAGACATTTGGGACTTTGGCTTGAAGAATATGCCTCAATTGCTGAGTCTTCACTTGGAAGAAAATCAGCTGGCTGAACTTCCTGATAAGAGCTTCTCAAGCCTGGCTAATCTTCAGGAACTTTATCTTAATCACAATCAGATACGCAGGATCTCACCCCAAGCCTTCCTAGGCCTTGGAAATCTCCTTCGACTCCACCTCAACTCCAACTTCTTGAGGACAATTGACAGCCGCTGGTTCCAAGTACTACCTAGTCTAGAGATCCTCATGATTGGTGGTAACAAAGTAGATGCCATTCTGGACATGAACTTCAGGTCTTTATCCAACTTGAGAAGTTTGGTTCTGGCTGGAATGAACCTGAGAGAGATTTCAGATTATGCTCTAGTAGGCTTGAAAAGTCTGGAGAGTCTGTCTTTCTATGATAACAAGCTGGTCAGTGTCCCCAAGCGAGCGCTGCAGCAAGTTCCTGGACTTAAATTCTTGGATCTGAACAAAAATCCACTTCAGAGGATTAAACAGAGTGATTTCACAAACATGCTACACCTCAAGGAATTGGGACTCAACAATATGGAAGAGCTGGTTTCTATTGACAAGTTTGCCTTGATCAACTTGCCTGAACTAACGAAATTGGATGTGACCAACAACCCTAAACTATCGTATATCCATCCTAGTGCATTCCACCACCTCCCCCAGATGGAGACTCTCATGCTCAACAACAATGCTCTAAGTGCTTTGCATAAGCAAACACTGGAGTCCCTCCCCAGTCTGCAGGAGATAAGCATCCACAGCAATCCCATCCACTGTGATTGTGTCATCCGCTGGGTCAATAGTACTGAGAACCATATACGCTTCATTGAGCCTCAATCCACATTATGTGCTGAGCCTCCAGACCTAAAGAGAAAGCACATCCGTGATGTCCCCTTCAGAGAAATGACTGATAGATGCCTACCCCTCATCTCTGACAAAAGCTTCCCTTCTCATCTAGAGGTGGTAGATGGTGAAGACATCTCTCTTCATTGCAGGGCTTTAGCAGAACCAGAACCAGAGATCTACTGGGTCACACCATCAGGCCTTAAGCTACTGCCATACTCGGAAGATGGAAAGTATAAAGTGGACTCTGAAGGGACAATGGAGATCCGCAAGGTCACAGTACAAGAGGCAGGCCTCTATACATGCATGGCTCAAAATCTCATAGGTGCTGACACTAGAAGTATCAGCCTGATAGTCAACAGTTCTTTTCCCTTTAGTGAAGACATGCTAGAGCTGATAATTGAGGAAGTTCAGACCTACAATATCCTGGTTGCCTGGAAACCTCATCTCAATACAATTTCATCTAATGTCACTTGGTCCAGTTTCAACCCCAGCTTGGACTTAACAAATATAGCCCGTATTCCAACAGGTACCCATGCGTATAACATCACAAGACTACACCACAATACAGAATACTGGGCCTGTCTTCATATAGCATTTGCAAATTTGCAGACCAAGGTTGCCTGTGTCAATGCCAGGACTAAAGAGGCTCAATACCAATACTTGGAAAGCAGGCAGTGTGCCCTGATGGTGTTGTTCCTCTGCATACTGATGCTGTCTATAAGCCTCATAGGCAACTATGGTTTAAGTTCTTTCACATTGCAAGATAGGAGCCAGGGAGCCTGCATGCCATGGAAAACAGCCTCATCTTCAGTTCATGTAGTATATCCAACTTTCATCAAACAGTGGGATCAAGGGAGAAAGGGTGAGACACTCCTGGCCATGGAGGTACAAGCAACATCACTGGACTCCTGAAGACTGTGGGGAGGTTTTCTCTGCAAGAAGGATGAATTCATACATCTGTTGAATTTCTTTAAAAATTACCAAATACAGATGAAAGGGGGGAGATGCTGAAGTATGAAAACCATAAATATGGAGGATGGGTAGGAAAAGTGTGTTCCTTTTCCACCCAAATCACGAGTTTGCTTGGCCAAACATGTTATCTTTTAATCCAAGACAGACAATCCATTTTTATTGAAAGAGAAGTTGCTGAAAAGACAGGCAATATCCAGAGCAGACATCCTGAGTTGGAAAGCATCAAGCTCGAAATCCCAAAACATCTCGGCCTCTTCCAGGCAACTATGAATCCTCTGGCAGCCTGTTACTGATATACTTTGTGTTCAACACATTTCTGCTCCCTTGGAAGTACCAAAAGGCCTCTTCCTTTGGGGATACCTTTCTGAGTGGGTGGATGTATATCACCATGGAGAATCTTGACCAGATCCAACCAGTCTCTTGTAACCTGAAGAGTTTGCCTCCTGCAGTGCTTTCCCAAGGAAGTGAATTTGAAGAGAGGCAACCTTCTCATGCTAGAGAATCAGGAAAAACTATTATAATCCTATGGAGGGG